AGTTTCACAGGCCGAAAGAGACTGACATGGTGGCATCAGAGATTGGCACCCCTTTTAGAAGTAACAACTGTTGTCTTGATAAGGAGGCAAAACAGTCTCCAAAAGCATTACAGGCTGAGGACATTCTGTGTAGGTAAAAACAATTTTTAATTTTTATTATTATTGTTATTTTTGCAGTACTGGGGATTGAGCCCAGGGCCTTCACACTGAGCTACACCCCCAGCCCTTCCTAGGACAAGGTCTCACTCAGTTGCCCAGGCTGTTCTCAAACTTGTCTTCTTGCCTCAGCCTCCCAGAGTGCTGGGATCTTACAGGCATGTGACCTATGCCCAGCCAAGTGAAAACAATCTCTGCAGATTTGACCAGCTCCAGCATTTCAGCAAAACATAATTGATACAGAGGGCAAAGTAGACAGATGGTGCTACATATGGGAGCAGTAAGAATATATGAAGAGCTTGATACCAGGATTAAAGAGACCAAGGTTGGATCATGAGAGCCATTAAAACAGTGTGACTTTGAGCACATCACTTAACCTCTGAAGGCTTCAGTTTACTTTCTGGTCTATAAAACAGTGGATTAAACATTATTTCATAAAATTCTATAAATATGTTTACAGTGATGACATTAATATTTTTAAAAATTGGATTATGCTTGATTTAAAAGCATCTATGCAGAAGTCCTTTGAAGAGTATGATTATCTCTGTAGTTGAGAAAAATAGGATTAGAGAGATTAAAAAAAAGTTTCCTTGTAGCTACATAAGTAGTAGAGGTGGTATTCAAATCTAGTAGTGCCTGCTTCCCGGGCTCTCTTAATTCTTCAGTTGACAAGTGCTTATTAAATGCCAAGTGTGTGGGAAGAGTGTGCCAAACACAAGGAACACAAAGACGATTAAGCCTCACCTCTGTCCTCGCGGTTCAGTACAGTAGGCATTACTGTACCATTCTGCTCCTCAGATCACAGTGCTGATGATGCAAGCGATGCTGCAGCATTCACACACAGCTATATTATGGCTTTAAAAGACTTAAGGGTGTGAGCATGAAACTGAGCCACCATTTATAGCATTGTTTCTATGGGAATGTGTTTCGGGTTCCAAATAATTTAAAAATAAGTTTTGGAATATAACCCAATTATAATTTCAGAACTTCCTGTACTAAGTACTGAATTTGGAGTTTAACAGCCATCCAGAATGCTTGGTCTAAATAGTGAATAAAATTTTCTAAACTTGATCATCTCTGACATTTAAATGGCTTAAAGTAAAACCTTTTTTCTTTAGGAGCCTCTTTTGGTTATTCCAAAAAGTTTCAAGGAGAAAAACTAAAGGATTTAATCACTTTAGTGTTTGGACTGTATGTCCTGGAAAATGACATTTAAAGAAAAAAAATATTACCGATCTGCATTTCTTTTATTTTTGAGTCACTGGGGATTGAACCTGGGGCCTTTCGCATGGTAGGCAAGTGCTCTACCACTGACTTATATCCCCATGTCCTGATGAGATATTTTTATAGGTGGCAAAATCTTCAAGACCATGCTCAGTCTTGGTCAGTTTTTCATTGCTATAATACCCTAGGCTGAGTAACTTACACATCTGCCAAGAATAGAGCCTGATACTATACCAAGACTTAAATGTTAGCTGTTCACATTAGTGGTGCATTATGGTTGTCATTTACCCTACCTTCATAACCTTCATCATCAGTTTAAAGCAAATCTGCATTCCCTTTCATTACGTTTCTAGCCAAACTGTTGTATAGTTTCTTCACAATTATTTACATATACATACCTGTACAGATACTTGAAATGTCTTTCCCTGTGTTGTTTTTTTTCTATCCTATTCATCCAAGGCTTCATTCAGCTCCTACATCCCTAAAGCTTACTGTTCTGGTATAATTCACGCTTTTGTCTTCTAATTTCTTGCTGTACTTTATTCAGTGTAATTTAGCACTTAATTGTTCTCAGATTGCTTTTTGGTTTCAAATTTAATCCTTCATATATATAATTAGCTCTACTGTACACCATCTTTCTGCACCTCAGTGTTTTATTCAGTGTTAGGAACATGGTGGGTGTTCAATGCATTCTGATACTCTAATTTTAAAACATGAGAGAATCCTTTCATTACGTTCTGGCTTTTAACAAAGATAATCTGTAGTCCTCCAGTTAAATCCATACATTCAGTCACATAAGACAAAGAAAGGAAATGAATGTGTTTACAAGTTGAGTATCCTTTATCTAAAATGCTTGGGACCAGAAGTGTTTCAGATTTCTAAGAGTTTTCCAGGATTTTAAAATTTTTTATGGTTTTTATTGGCATGTTGACACTCAAAAAGTAGGAGTTTGGATTTTAGATTTTCAGATTAGAGATGCTCAACCTGTACTTAAATCCTCTTTGAGACTCAGAGGTAATATGGACCCTTAACTTGGCATTTGACCAAGGCTGGAGCAAAAAGAAACTTCCAGCAACAGTTATTTCCAATTTAAGAGATATGCCATGGAGAAAAGTTGTGTCTAAATCTTGCGGTGTCTGAGAAATGTGCTGAAAGAGTTTTTTGTTGTTGTTTTTTTGTTTTTTTGGTACCGGGGATTGAACTCAGGTCCTTGCACTTGCACAGCAGGCGGCGAAACCACTAAGCCAAAATACCCGGTCCCTGAAAGGGTTTTACACAGAATAACTTAGGGAACACATCTGTCAAGTAAGACTAAATGGACGTGTAGAGAGAAAACCACATTATACATAGTATTCAGATGGGACAATCACTTAAGCAGCAGCACCTCTGTCCCTATAAACCCCTTACTAAGGACCCATGTGCACTCCTGGTGAGGGTTCCCTGCAGAAGGCCACACTGCACCACACCAAGGAAGTGGTTAGTGCTGTCTAGGTAGATAGAAGGCCTTGCTATATTCTGATATATCGTTCAGGCCCTTAGATGGTTGCTTGCTTCTATGAAATATTCCTCTAACCGTTACAAATCTATGACTATTTAAATTAATATGCTTAATGTGTGTGGTGGCTGTTTTTTTGTTGTTGTTTTGTTTTGTTTGGTACCGGGAATCGAACTCGGGTCCTTGCGCTTGCGCAGCAGGCGGCGAAACCACTGAGCTAAATCCCCGGCCCTGTGGTGGCTCTTTGAATTTGAGGTGAGCTGTTAAGCTTTTTCAAACTAAAATTTTAAAAATTCAATGTAAACTTTTGCATCATCTAACTCCTTATTCTTGTTGCAGTCCTGCACCCTGGCTGTCCTTGTATTGTAGCCTTGGAGAAACAGTCTCCATGTAAAGGGTGTTAAGTCTTTGAATCAGACTTGAAGGCTCTGCCCTCAGCCCCATTGCTTGACTTTCAGCTGTAATAAATTTGTTCTTCCATGATGCAGCCAGTAACACAGAGAAAAGCAGTCCCAGATTTTAGTCACAAAAACAAGCATCTCAAATACAAGCATACCTTTATTGTGAAAATTTCTCTACTGTAACATAAAACATAATTTTATTGTGAAACTTCTTATGATAACATAAAATTCACTCTTTTTTGGAGCATTATTAAGGATATCAAAAAGTTGAAAAAAAGTAAACTTTTGGAATTTGGGTGAAATTATTGTTTAGTAAAAAATGAGTGCAGTGCTGGAAATGTAGTTCAGTGATAGAGTGTTTAGCATATGTGAGGCCCTAATCAGTACTCACCGCCCCCAGGTGAATGCATCATAACTTTCTTTCTTTCTTTTTTTTGGAGGGGGGATTGAACTCGGGTCCTTGCGCTTGTGCGGCAGGAAACCACTGAGCTAAATCTCCCCAGCCCCCTTCATAAATTTCAATGCAAAAATTATCTTCAAGGGATAAGCTAAAAGAAGTCTCAGGGCATTTAGATCTCTTCCCTTGTGCCCCTCCCACCGTTTTGATTTGTTTTGTTGAGAAAAGCTCTTGCTATGTAGTTGAGGCTGGACTTCAACTCACTATGTAGCCCAGGCTAGCCTTGAACTCCCGGTGATCCTCCTGTCTCAGCCTCCCAAGTGCTGGGATTACAGGCGTGGGCCACCACACCTGGCTGCACTTTGTGAATTATTGCTGGTAAAAGTTACTCTAGCTAAAATCAGTTTTACCCAGAACTTGGACAGGTGCATAGTAATGTTACTTAAACTATAATGGTAGGTCAGTGTAGACAGTGGTGGTGAACCTGTGGCTCATGAGCTACAGCAGGCAGTTTGTATTATTGAAAGCTCTAAAAGGTTCACCATTATTGACCTGGAAGCTACCGTATATGGTTAGCATTGAATGTTACATGGCCCTTATTCAACACCCAGCTCTGAGGGGCATCCACATAGCAAAGCAGACAGATGTGGAGGTGGTGGGAGCCACACCAAGGGGCACCTGGAGCCCTCCTCTGCTTTACAGTGTGAGGTCTTCAACAGAGTGGCCACTTGACTGAGTACATGCTGAATGAGATCTCTAATCAAGAAAAACTAAATTCTCAATGATGTATCTTTGAAGTGATGGAATACTTGTGCTCTTGCCAATGCTTAGTACCTGATCAGTGCCTAGTATACCAAATGTACTCAATAAATATTCATTAAATAAATGAATAAATTTAAATGCTATAGATAATGTTAATTTTTTAGTGTTAACACAAGAGTATATGTAATCTAATGGATTAGTGAGTATAGTTTCAGATGTGCCAATATAATTGGTCTTGTAGGTATTTGTATTAATTTGGGTTAATGGCCATAAAACTGCTTTCATTTAGATAAGAAGGGTTCTTGGACCCTTTAATCTCTTCATGTCATTATTTCAAGCATTGCCTATTTAATACCTGAAAGTTATACCGATTACTGGCTTCTAATGGACTCTTACTTAAACTTAGATTTACTTCCTGATGCTTAAATAAGCATTACTATTGCAGTGATAGTAACCATAAATCATTACATTATTGAATTATTACATTATTACTATACATTTTACACATTTTCTCTGTGAGTCCTCATGTTTGATATGTTATTATTATCGCCACCTTGACACTCAGGATCAACAAGGGAGAAGCAAGTTACAGAAGTGGCAAAGCCAGATTGGAATCCAGGTCTGTCTGACTCAAGGCCTGTGCTCTTCTTACTGTTCTGTAGTGTCCACAACATTTTGTTCCTGCTTTAATATGGATACTCATCCTCCAAACAATTTTGCTTTGAACAATTCATTACTAGAAAACTTCTTTTTAGTGGGTGGGGAGGTGGATGCTTATTCTTCTACCACTTTATTTTCTATTCAAGGTTTCTGAATCCTTCAAAAATTATTATACGGGCTGGGAATTTAGTTCAGTGGCACCGTGCCTGCCTCGCAAGTGCAAGGTCCTGAGTTACATCCCAAGTACCCCCCCCAAAAATTATAGGCCTAGGAATACCACCCTACTAAAAATAAGCTTGGGTCTACATTTTTGTGTAATATTTTACCTTCTGAATAAGATAATATTGTTTGGGTTTGTTTTGCATAATTCTAATTGTAACATACTTTTGTATCTCCTTTTATTTGATTCTACATCCTGAAACTGTTTCCCACTTTCTTCCATTGTTTTCACTCATAAATACAATTTTTAACTTTTTTTTTTTTTTGGTACCAGGGATCGAACTTGGGTCCTTGTGCTTGCAAGGCAGGTGGCTGAACCACTGAGCTAAATCCCTGGCCATAAATACAATTTTTAAAGGCCAGTGAATTTTGAGAAAGTGAGTTCTAGGGAGTAGGTTTACCCTAGTTTACTGTAAAATTCCCTTATTGCCAGGCACTAAAATTATAAATAACATCAGTGAGTATCTGTGTGTATACTGCTTTTGTTTTATTTTGGCACATGGTAAAACTGATTCCTCACAGTTTGGGTAAAGATACCCAATTTACAAATGTTGGAAATATTTTACCTGCTTGAAACATTTGATTTGGCTTCAAAAAGCACAGTTGCTATTTTAAGATGATAGCAGATGTCATTAAGTTCAGTGAAATTGTATGTATAGGAACTGGCTTTTCATTAGAAGTTAGATTCTGAAGCTTTATGCATACAAATTACAATTTGAGGCTAAAATTGGATCTTATTTTGGTTTTTTGGTTTTTTTTTTTGGCACTGTTGATCGAACTTGGGACCTTGCACTTGCAAGGCAGGTGATGGAACCACTGAGCTAAATCCCTGCCCCTTTGTTGGCTTTGTAGTATAATAAGATTTCTAGTGTATTTCATATTTTCTTATTTATTTATTTATTTTTGCAGTTTTGGGGATTGGACCTTGGGTCTTTGCACAGAGCTTTCCCAGTTCTTTTTTTAAAAATTTGAGACAGTTTCTTGTTAAGTCGTTGAATTACCCAGTCTGGGCTTAAATTTGTGATCCTCCTCCCTCAGCCTCCAATAAGAGTGCTCGGACTACAGGCATGTGCCACTGCACCAGGCAGAGTTCTGGTGATTTAAATATTTCCCTGTTTTTATCTAAAGTTGACTCTCTAGACTAAAAATACAATGTTCACCCATGTTAAATTTAGAAAACTAGTTGCAGAATGGTATGTGTAGTATACCATTCAGATTAAAAAGCACAACTATGTTCCCAGCACATAGTAAGTACTCAGTATGTTGACTGTGTATGTATGCGTGTAAACAGATCTGAAGGTATATAATCCAGAATATTTGGAGGGATTTCTTCTGGGAAGAGGTATGTGATGTGAGATGTTCTTAGTCTGTGTACTACTTGTATGTGTTTTTGTAGTAAGTATATGTTACTTTCGGATACTTTAACAGTTTATAAAAAGAAAAGAAAAACTTACAATCTAAGGATAGACACTTCATTCCCAAGTAAATTTACTGCTGCTTTATACCCTAAAATGCATGTTGAGCATTGAAGATGTTATTCTGACTCTACAGAATTAATTAAAGAAAAGGGGAAAGCATTGACCAACCCTGTTTGTTTGATGTAACATCTGCAGAATTTAATAAAGTTTTTTTAAATAGAAATTTTTCTATGGAAAATTTCAAACATACATTAAAACCATAATTCTGCTTATCTTCAGTAGTTATAAAGTCAATCTTGTATCATCTAGCACCCATATCCACCTCACTTATTTTGAAGAATAATCTCAACTATAATTCCATCTATAAATATTTCAGTAAGCATATAAAAGATAAGGACTCTTGAAACTCTTGTCACACTTCAGAAATGAGCAGTAGTTCCTTAATATTAAACATCTAAAACGTTTTGTTTTGTTTTTGGTACTGGGGATCAAACTCGGGTCCTTTCACTAAAACATTTTTTAATACTCTACAATCTAGTTATTAACTTTAAGTTGCTATTTTATTGCATTGTTTTTATCCTTTAAATATTTTTTTTTGTTACCAGGGATCTAACTCAGGACCTTGTGCTTGTGAGGCAGGCGACAGAACCACTGAGCTAAATCCCTGGCCCCTCCTATAAATATTTTTAAATTAATGTCATTTTCCTTTCAAATTTAGTATACATTTTCCCCCTTAGAGTCATAATAAAACCACAGTTAAAGTTTTTGCTTGTGGTGCTTTATTTAATATAAGAAATCTGAATAAATGGCCGAGTATCTTCAAATTGTTTTTTTGTTTTGTACTGGGAATCAAACTCAGGACCTTGCGCTTCCCAGGCAGGTGCAGCACTGGTGAGCTACATCCCTGACTCCATCTTTTAAGTTTTAAAAAGCAATTCAGGTATATATTAGAGTTTTACTATATTAGAGTAGAAAGCCGTTGATACCTTTATTGCAATAGCAAAGTTAATACAAGTCAAAAATCATGATTAAAAATTAGTTTTTCAAGTGCTTTTTTTATATCTCCTCTGACTTGAATATTTGTTTTCCATAGGTCTCTACTAGAAGATGGCAAAGCCCAGCCACAGCAGCTATGTCCTGCAGCAGCTAAACAACCAAAGAGAATGGGGTTTCCTCTGTGACTGTTGCATTGCAATTGATGACATTTACTTCCAAGCACACAAAGCTGTTCTAGCTGCCTGCAGCTCCTATTTTAGAATGTTTTTCATGAACCATCAGCATAGTACTGCACAACTGAATCTCAGCAACATGAAAATCAGTGCTGAGTGTTTTGATCTCATTCTGCAATTTATGTATTTAGGAAAAATTATGACAGCTCCCTCCAGTTTTGAGCAGTTTAAAGTGGCAATGAACTACCTACAGCTTTACAATGTTCCTGACTGCTTAGAAGACATACAAGATGCAGATTGTTCTAGTTCAAAATGTTCCTCTTCTGCTTCCAGCAAACAGAACACCAAAATGATATTTGGAGTAAGAATGTATGAAGACACTGTGGCTAGAAATGGCAGTGAAGCCAACAGGTGGTGTGCAGAGCCAAGTTCAACAGTAAACACACCTCATAATAGAGAACCAGATGAAGAATCTTTACAATTGGGTAATTTTCCTGAACCACTGTTTGATGTATGTAAGAAAAGTTCTGTGTCCAAATTATCTGCCCCAAAAGAAAGGGTATCACGACGCTTTGGACGGAGTTTTACCTGTGACAGCTGTGGATTTGGCTTTAGCTGTGAAAAATTATTAGATGAACATGTACTGACCTGTACTAATAGACATTCATACCAAAACACAAGATCTTACCACCGAATAGTAGATATGAGAGATGCAAAAGACAGTAATATCAAAGCTGAATTTGGTGAAAAAGATGCATCTAAAACATTTTCTACACAGGCAGACAAATACAGAGGAGACACAAGCCAGGGTCCTGATGATTCTGCTTCAACCACTGCAAATAGAAAAAGTAGCACAGTGGAGTCTGAACTAGCCAGTGAAGAAAAAAGCAGGGCTGCTGAGAGGAAAAGAATCATCATTAAGATGGAGCCTGAAGATATTCCTACAGATGAGCTTAAAGACTTTAATATTATTAAAGTTACTGATAAAGACTGCAATGAATCCACTGATAACGATGAATTAGAAGATGAACCCGAAGAGCCATTTTATAGATACTATGTCGAAGAAGATGTTGGCATTAAAAAAAGTGGTAGGAAATCTCTAAAACCTCGAATGTCAATAAATTCTGATGAAAGAGGTACTTTAGAAAATCTGAGGCCCCCTAACAACAGTAGTCCGGTACAAGAGGATAGTGAAAATGCCTCTTGTGAGCTGTGTGGACTCACAATAACGGAGGAGGACCTGTCTTCTCATTACCTAGCCAAACACATTGAGAACATCTGTGCATGCGGTAAATGTGGACAGATCCTCGTCAAGGGTCGGCAGCTTCAGGAACATGCACAGAGATGTGGAGAACCCCAAGATCTGACAATGAATGGGCTAGGAAATACGGAAGAGAAGATGGACATGGAAGAAAACCCTGATGAACAGTCTGAAATAAGAGATATGTTTGTTGAAATGCTGGATGATTTTAGGGACAGTCATTACCAAATAAACAGTATCCAAAAAAAGCAGTTATTTAAACATTCTGCCTGTCCTTTTCGATGTCCTAATTGTGGTCAGCGTTTTGAAACTGAAAATCTAGTGGTTGAACATATGTCTAGCTGCCTAGATCAAGATATGTTTAAAAGTGCGATTATGGAAGAAAATGAAAGAGATCATAGGCGAAAGCATTTTTGTAAT